AGCAGCGTTGCTCCTTGCTAGCCCTGCTCCAGCCAGCGCTCCAACCAGTGTGTCGCCAAACTTGCACACCGAGAATGAGGAGTAACTGGCTCCTCCTTGAGATATAGCGGCCTGCTTGCCTCTTGGTGAATGACTTCCCAGGACGCGCGGCCTCCAAGCAACCAGTACCTCCTCCCTTTCGGAGGGAAACATCATTGCAGACTCTGATATTGCCCGTACACTGCGTACAGGCCCTAGACTCAGACTGGTGGACTTGTATCCGCCTAGACCTAGCCTACAACAACTGGGCCTCTAAAAATGCCAACTTTTGTCTTCTTCTGCTCGGTCTCGAGTACCCGGCTGATCTACCTCTTCCTGGTGTGGTACTGGCCTACCCGCTACTTGAGTGTTTTCCGCTGCTTCAAGTGTCGCGGGCCTCTTTCCCTGCCACTTTGAGCGTTTTCCCCCGCTGCAATCCTCAATGTCACGGCCACAGGTAAGTTCCAGCCCTTCGGGCCCACTGAACGAACAAGTTCCCTTGCGGGTCACACACACGCTCAAGCCAACAAGCACTCAGACAAACATGCAGACCAGCAAGCTTGCAAACACACAGACTTAGAGAACTCAGTAACAAGCTGGAAACTCAGCAAGGCATTCAGTCCATGAGCAAAACTCAGAAATCAGCTGTGTCTCAGTCTTTGTTTGGTGGGGTCATTACACAGACAGCCTGAGACAGGCATATATGGGCACTCACATTACATTGGAACGAGTGGTACATTCGTGGGAAGACAAAGAGCCGTGCAGAGGGAGAGAAAGAGTGGCGGAGACCAATCAGACCTGGAGACATCCAGTGACAAGTTGTTGATATGAGCTATTGTTTTTTTTTTTCTTTTTGCTTTTTTCTGTAGACATGCTCACGTTGTTATCAGCTAGCGGTAAGAGATGCAACACCCCTGGCACTCAGGTAGTTCACACTTTGAATGCACTGCCTAGCCCCCTGGACGGATTTCCTTCTTCTTCTGGGAACAAACTATGATCGGGTGATTTCTCACATGCAATTGAATTCCACAACTTTCGTGTCTTCCATATTTTTTTATGTGTGGCTCAGGTCTGGTCGCCGGATGGACCAGGGACCCCTACCCCATCCGCGGTCCTTCCGGTTGGACCGGCCGGTGGCCCGGGCCGGTTCCCTCCCGGTTGCCCCCAGCGCATTTTCGCTGGGGGCTGAATTTTTTTTTTTGTCGGCGCGTATGTGTTCCCAAGGCCTCGTGGGGGCGGGACCTGCCCTGCAATTTCGAAACCGGGTCCTGTACGCCCGGATTTTTCAAGTACAGAAAGTGCCCAATCTTGGCCGCCGATCGTCGCAGATCAGCGGCAGAGATCGGCCAGGACCCCATTTCTATAAGAAAAACGGGCAGACGATATCCGCCGCTGATCTATGCAGATCAGCAGCGGAGAACAGACATGCGTTTTTCCTAAGATGTGGGTCGGGTAGGCCCCTAATCCAATTTGTCAGCTTGTGGTCCAATGGACCAGTTACCAGTGACAACATCTGATGCTCTTTCACCCTCAGCCACGAGGGGAACACTATGCTTCTGATGAGACTCTGCTGAGATTATATCCTTCTGCGATGTCCCTGCCATCTGTGGAAAAAAGTTATGGGTTCGGATTTTGGAATTGTGATTTCAGAGCCGTCCGAGGTGCAATCCCAAGAATGGACCTAAAATATAGGGCGTTGCTGCACTACTCTTTCTCCACTACATGTATCTGGACAGACTGCCAGACAAGATACTTCCGGACTGACAACTCACCTTATGTAGGAACCAACAAACAGAAAACGCTCTGCCTCCACGAGCAGAAAGCTGGAACCATAACTTCTCTGCTGTCGAAGTATACTCTGGAAGAGCTATAATTTCGGGCAAGGACCTCCTCTCATCATATCTGGTTCAGCTCGTGGGGTATCAATATCAAATGACATACTCCACGAAGTGCTCCAGCGACGGGGGGGTCGGATAAGTGAA